GGGGGGGGGGGAAGGAGAAAGTTACCTATCGGCGAGGGATAACGACCAAACCACCTCGAACCCTTCTCCCACCTTGTTCCCTTGCAACACTTGCCCAAGAACCGACATGATCCCCCGATCTCCCGTATCCTTCCCCTCCCCCTTCCCCCCCGCACCGACACTGACACTGACGTCCCGCCCGACCTCGGCTTGTAGCCCGGCACCTTTGAGGGCTTTTGCCAAAGAGCGTACTGTATTTTGGACACCTTCCCAGAGCGCTTTGAATGCCAGGCCTTCCAGCAAGCTCCCCACGACGCCTTGTTGTAGAGAAGAAGAAGAAGAAGAAGAAGAAGAAGCTGCTACGAGATTCTGCTTTTGCACCCGTAAAGCCGAGAGGAGGTTGATCCTCGCACTTGCCAATAAAAGCTTGCACAGCGGACTTGTTGAGGCAAGATTGGAATGGAGGGAAGAGGGGGAGGGAGAGGGGGAAGGGGAAGGGGCGGAGGGAGGAGAGTAAAGTTGGAATATGAGAGTGTGGGAGGATGTGGGTATTTGGATTTGGACTTGGAAAGGTTCGATGATGCTTTTGTCTAGGGTGGACGCTTCTATACGGATCTAATTCCTTATCAGCCCTCCCTTCCCCAAGGTCAAAAGTGAGAGAAAGGAAAAAAAACGCACTTGGGTGAACAAGTCTTGATCAAAAGCTTCCATCTGCGCCCGCTCCATCTCTTCCCTCACATCCCCCGCCTTCTCCTCCGCCTCCACCCCCGAACTCATGACCGTCCCCGCCGGATCCCTCAACAACACCCTCACCCGTCGATAGCCCCTCGCAGGGAAAGAGAGCGAGGTCGGTAACGTCGGGTCGAGGTCGAAGCCTGCTATACAGCGTGCTCGGGTGGCGGGGGACGCTTCGTCGATGGCGTAGGGTACGATCACGTCTTTTGCTTTTTCGCCGTCTTTCATTGTTCCCGTTCTCGCGAAATCGGGCTTTGGCACGACCGCCCACCGTCCCCTCCCTCCCTGCCCTTCGCGCAGCCCACGGACGTCGCGCCAGAATCGGTCCCCTGCCCGGCCCATCAACGCCAGCTCCTCCACCGCCCCATCCACCAGCCCCAAACACTCTTCCACCGCATCGTCCCGCGCACGCACCAGCTGGATGAGGTCGTTCACCGTATCATGCAGCGGCACAGAGGGGAGGGAGGAGGGCGTCGTCGTGAACGTCCCAGGGGGGAGGATGGGCGGATCGCCGGGGATGGTGGGTGGGGCTGCTGCTGCCAAGGCAGGGGTGGCTTTGGGTTTGGGCTGTTTCTTTTGGTGTTGAGGGAGCGTAGTAGGCGGGGGAGGAGGGGGGTGGGATGGGTGGGCTGAGGAGACGGATAGGGTTTTTGCTAGTTCTAGAGCGAACCAGAGTTCATTCCTCGCATCGCTTCACCCCTCGTCAGCCGCTTCCATATGTTGACCTAGACAGTAAAGAGTCGCTTCGCTCCTAGAGTACCAAACATGTACTCGCTCGCTGCGCTCGCTCGGCCCCCATCCCACCCCCTTCCCAATGAAAGACTCACTTGAGCTGCATAAACATCTCCGACCTCAACCTCTCCATCTCATCCCAGTCCATCATCTTGAACACATCCCTCTTCTTCTCCCCCTCCCCGCCTTGGCCTTCTTCGGGCTTGGGTTTTGGTTGAAAAGCAATAGCATCGGGCGGGAGGGACTCGAGCTTGCTTTCAGAGAGGTCGAGTAGGCCGCCGGGGTATTCGTTCCATATTCTTTCCAGCTGGGATGTGAGGTCTGCTTCTAGGGATTCGCTGTTTCCGTTGTCAGTAAGCCAAAGGTATGTGGGAGAGGGGGCGTACTCGTCTTCGTAGATGATGGCACCGTCATGGTCGATTGCTTTCACACGCTTTTGGCCGAGCGCGAGGTCTATGGTGGTAGGGTCGAGGGAGATGCGGAGGTCGTCGAATGGGGATTGTGATGAGCTCGCCATGGTGTGAGTTGATCGGTCGAGAGTGCTACAGTGAGAATGAAGCCAGATGTAAGAGGAGATGAGCGGTAAGTGAGTGGTTTGATGCCGCTAATGGGCGATTTGACTCCGCTAATGGAACGATGTGTGTCACCATTACCAAAGCATGCTAATTGATTACGATCGCGGCAGGAACATTAGCCCCCGCCCAACACTCTCCTACATCTGACATCCCCTCGAATACTATACCCGCCCAGCATTCCGCCCCTCGTCCCTGCCCGCCGCAAATCATCCAACATGGATCTCGACCCGGACAGCCCGCCCCCTGCGAGCGAGACACATCCCTCCATCGCCCCTCCCGCGCCAGAGAGGGGCCAGGCCTGCTCACCGAACAAGCCCAAAAAGTTCAAACTCGACCCCATGTCCTTGCTTCTGCCGCATGAACGACCCATGCCCTCGTCGACCGGGGGAGCTGGTGGAGCGTATGGGGTGCAGAAGCATCAGTCGGGGCATGTCTCGCCGGGTTTGCAAGCTGGAGCAAGTCGAGAGAGCGTAGCTGGTGAGTAGCCTCGTCTCTTGTATGCTTCAGTGACCTGACGGGACTGTAGCAAAAGCACCATCGCCAAATCCCCCACAACAACTCCCCCTCTCCCCTCCCGCCTCACACGCCTCCACACCCCCAGCAACCTGGGAAGAACAACAAACCTGGAACGCCATGGAGGACGTCCTCACATCCTCCTTCCCTCACTCTGCGGCCACACATTCCCACCCCGGGCAAGCGAGTCAATGGGGCCAGTACTATACCCTCCCACCGCCGACGAGCAAGGCGAAATTGGAAGATTGGGAGATTGTCGAGACGCTCGGTACGGGCACGTTCGGGAGGGTATTGCTTGTGAGGCAAAGACCGAGCTATAGACCGACAGCGTACCACCCCATTTTCCCTCATCTGTACCAATCGCACGACCCCCTCGCGCCCTCGCTCTCCGCCACACAGCACAGCGACGCCCAGCTCCCACATTTCGCCATGAAAGTCCTGCGCAAATCCGAGATTGTCAGGCTGAAGCAGGTCGAGCATATCAATTCAGAACGCAACATCCTCGAGCGCGTGCGCCATCCCTTCATCGTCGAGCTTCACGCCACGTACCAAGATCAGCTGAACGTCTACATGCTGCTCTCGTACATTCCCGGCGGCGAGCTGTTTTCGCACTTGAGAAGAGCGGGCAGGTTTTCAGCAGATGTGACCCGCTTCTACCTCGCCTCCATCGTGCTCGCCATCGACTATCTCCACTCGAAAAACATCATCTACCGCGATCTCAAACCTGAAAACCTGCTCCTAGACCGGCACGGCTACCTGCGTATAGCAGATTTCGGCTTTGCTAAAGTCGTCCAAGACCGTACATTCACACTCTGCGGCACCCCCGAATACCTCGCCCCCGAAATCGTGCTCTCCCAAGGGCACGGCAAAGCCGTAGACTGGTGGGCCCTCGGTATCCTCGCATTCGAAATGCTCGCCGGCTACCCTCCATTCTTTGACGACCACCCTCTAGGGATATACGAAAAGATCCTCTCGTCGCATATCGCGTTCCCCTCGCACATCGACCCCTACGCGAAGGATCTGATTAGGGGCTTGTTGACGGCGGATAGGAGCAAGAGGCTCGGGAATCTGAGGGGGGGGGCGAGGGATGTGGTGGGGCATGCGTGGTTTTCCGGGGTGGATTGGGGGAGTTTGGAGGGGAGGGGGATTGGGGCGCCGATTGTCCCCAGGGTGGTTTCTATGGGTACGTTTCCCCTCTCTCTGTCCTTGTGTTTTCGTTTGTAAAAGACTAATGTGGATGTGGTAAAAGGCGACTCGCAAAATTTCCAACGTTACCCTCCCCCACGACCGCAAGACCTCCCAGGCGTATTCGGCCAGCCGTACGATAGGGTCGCCGACCCGTATGGGGAGCTGTTCCGCGGGTTCAGCTTTCCAAAGCCCAAGCCCAAGCCCAAGCTGGCTTTGCAGTCTCAGTCGCAGTCGCAGTCGCAGTCGCAGTCGCAGGCGCAGGCGCAGGCGGGCCGTATACCGCTGGTGGGTTCCAGAGGAGGGCAAGAGGGGGTAGCGGGAGGGCAGGGGCAGGGGCAGGGGCAGGGGCAGGGGTCGCGTTAGGTTATCCATACCATACGTGGGGTAGGAGGGGAAGGGGAGATGGACTTTGTTTACAAGAGGTTATTACAATATCTCGATACATCCTTATATATATATATATAACGTAGCGTTCTTTTGACTCGGCGGAAGGGGAGGGAAGAGAGAAAAGACAGATAAAGTAGCTTGGTTTTTGGTTTACAATTACAGTTAGTATTGCCGATACCGTTGTCATATAGTCCTAAATGTTCTGTGCTTTTGGTTTCTTTTGAAAGTAGTCATTTGTGATTCCTTCATGCATGCGTGAAGATGATCCCATGTGTTCTAGCATGAGGACTGACAAAGTGACAACAGATACGTACGCTGGACGTAAACTGAAGAGTACGCACTGCGACGTTTTCCATCATCCTTTGAGCCGGGGAGCCGGGCTGCCCCTGGGGGACCTGTGTACAGGTCAAAAGATCTTGTACTCGCGCCGTCGGCCCTCCTTCTAAGACCTTGAACTGCGTTTGTCAATGGAAGATGCCATAACCACGTCGAGTGTATATAAAGGCCATCTCCTGTACTCGTACTGTGTACACGTTCTTTTTGTACCTATTGATCCAGCAACAGGATGTCTGGGACAACTGCTACAAGCGATACGAGCACGAGCGATCTGGGGGATGACGGGAGCTTTGTGGAAAAGTATATCTGTGAGTAGCTCACCACGCAACCCCTCGGCCCCGTCTCCAACCCACAACGCCAGCTGACAACTCCCCAGGGGTGATCGTCATCGCTACCGTCCTCATCCTCGCTTCAGGCCTCACCTGCGGCCTCCTTCGCAAATACCACAAACGCGGCCGCATGACAGTCTGGTCTATGCGACCGCACTGCCGGGAATGCCACACCAAGCTCGCTAGCAAGAGCACGAGTACGAGCGCGGGCGACTATGGGCTGCATAAGCTGTGGTGCTGCAAGGCGAAAGTGTATTGGTGTGATGATTGTGATAAGAAGGCGAGGAAAGAGGGGTATGCTTGATGGGTTCTTGTAGCAGCATGATTTTCCTCGCAGCGATGTAAACAATGTGCCGTCCAGGAACCATCTGCCACTGTAGCATTTGTGCGTTCACCGACCACCGACCATCGCTACTGCATCTGCGCAGTGATGATGTATCTATGTACATATACACGACCAGCTGCATACAGCAGGCACTGCTGCAACGCTACACATGGCGCGCATAAACAGCCGGCCATAGGTGCACCGGGACAGTGACTCACTCAACATGCTGTCGTCGGATCGCCGAGGGTCCTCGCATCGTGATTTTTTTTGAGTTGTCATTGTCCTCATTTGCAGTTGGAATGGGTACTCACTCTCCTCATACGCATATCTGCTACATACCCATGAGACTTGCTTCCAAGCATATGTGTTGGCCATCGCCAGCAACGACGACACGTTGCTCCCCATCATTCGATGATCTGAGCACGGATACTTCTCCTCGGGCCGAGCCTCCTAAAGGTACTCTCGCGTCCGACCTTCGGTCCTATGTAGTGCTTTGCGATGCTACCAAAGCCTCTCGGGCAATGACCAGTACACATAGCTTTTCGGAAGGATCAGCCATTCCGAGGCATATCCTCGGTCTTTCAGGTGTATAAGAGACGACCAGGAAAGATGTGAGGTATTGCCCCCCATCGACCTTGACCCTCCAGTTTCTCCTCATCTCTACTTGCCTTGCACACAAGTACCTCCTCGATCTTTCACCCTCTCTCTTCCACCTCCTATCTAATCTAGTCTTGTGTTGCCATTCCCCGACGGTCATATTGGCAAGTCCTTTGCTCTGATTTATACGATCAGCTTGGCTCACCTCCTTGCTGACCCTATCCACAGAGCACACCTCATTTTGCTACAAACCAACGTTCGCTACCATGCGACCTCACTTTCTTTCACTATTGACGCTGCTTGGGGGAGTATCCTCAGCCTACGGTGCCGCAATCAAGGCGTGAGTCACTAGCCACGATCTGCCTGACTCGCCTTCTTGTCAAGCGACTGACAACGCCTCTTCGCTCCCCAAAGGCTGAAAACCTCACTCGCCGCGCCACCACCACTACCACCAACACCACATCCTACGTTCTTTCAAACGACTTTGACATCACTGCCACCCCGACCACTCGAGAGTTCACTTGGGAGGTTGCTACTGCTACTGCCAGTCCTGACGGTTTCGAAAGAGAGGTCTATACCATCAACGGACAGTTCCCCGGTCCTCTCATCGAGGCGAACACTGGCGACACTATCCGTGTTACTGTGACCAACTCGATGGATAAGGGTCAGACGATTCGTAAGCTGACTCATCACATGGGGCTCATGATAACATGATGGTGATACTACCCATACAGACTGGCACGGCATGTTCCAAGCCTCTACTCCCTTTATGGACGGCGTCCCCGGTATTTCTCAGGTCAGTCCCTCCTCTAAAAGTCCCGCTCGCTGACAGGTTTACAGTGTCCCATCCCCGCAGGCAGTAGCTTTACATACGAATTCGTGGTCAACGACCAATGGGGCACCTACTGGTATCACTCGCATTACAGTGTGACCATGGCCGATGGTATTACAGGCCCGTACGTTCCATTTCCCGAGAAATGTTGTCAAAGGAGAGAGTGCTCACGATGCTTTAGAATTGTCATCCACTCGCCTGATGAGGCACTGGTAAGGGGCACAGACTACGATGAGGATAGGGTCGTGTTCGTGACTGATTGGATGTACGTGAATGCTTCGACACCCCGAGATATACCGCTGCTGATCATCTTGTTCAGGCATGACGAGTCCCAGACGATTGTGGATGCTCTACTTAGCGCCGACGGGTACAAAGGCGTAAGTTTCAATTCCTGTGATGCTGTGTGTAAGTATCCAACATGTTGCTTCAGTCTTTCAACCCTCCCCAAGGTGACTCCACCTTGATCAACGGTATCGTAAGCAATCTCTAGCTTACTTTCTCCAACATCTCTGACTCTTCTCAAGGGCAACTTCTCTTTATCAGACACAATCCCTTCCCCTGCCGAGATCCAAGTCCCAGTCGACTCCACCGTTCGCCTCCGATTCATCAACATTGCCTCCTGCACCATGATACGCATGTCCATCGACAACCACGACCTGGAGGTAATCGAAGCCGACGGAACCGACATCTATGGGCCCACTCTGCACGAAGTCGCCATTGCGCCTGCGGAGAGGTACTCGGTGCTTATCAACACTACTCAAGGCGCTGAAGGAGATGCGTTCTGGATCAGGGCTACATCTGCCGTCTTTTGCGGATTGACTAACGACCAAGTCGGGAAGGCGATCCTGAGGTACACCGATAGCAGTGGGAACTTGACGACTTCTGAGCCAACTTCGAGCGCTTGGTAAGTCAACAAACACGCCGTGCTGCCTGGGAGACTTGTGCTGATGCCTTGATGTCAGGAGTGACCTCGCTACGAGCACCGATGAATGTACACCTCTCGATGTAGCTTATACCCTTACGTATGTTCATTTTTCCCGCAATCAATACGACAACTGACCCTATCCAGCCCTCGACAAGCTCAAACCGCCGCTAGCACCGCTCTGTCGACCCAAGTCCTGTCCAGTCAGGTCGGCGCCTTTGTCGATGTCAACAATGTTTCCTTTGCCGGATTCGTCAGTCTACTTGAGTTAGGTCGCGACCCGAGCTTACGCTGATTCGGAGCTAGGCATTCAACAATACCATGTACCAAAACCAGATCTACAACCCTCTCCTCTCCGTCGTGCACAACGGCGACACCATCAACAGCAGTCTGATCCCCAGCATCACATTCAAAGACAACGGCGCTGCCAACATCATCCTTAACAACCTTGACACTGTTATCGACCACCCATACCATCTGCACGGGAACGCTTTCCAGATCCTTGCTCGTGGTAGCGGTACTATGTCCGCAGATGGCGTCGACGCTCTCACCCTCTCATTGGACAACCCATTGAGGAAGGATATCGTTTGGATTGAGAGGAGCTCGTGGGCGCTTATTAGGATCACGTCGGATAACCCTGGCGTTTGGCCTTTACACTGCCATATCGACTGGCATCTTGCTGTTGGAAAGGTGAGTTGATCCCCTCCTTCGTCGCGCTTCGGCACTGATGGAGAATAGATGGCTGCTGTTGTCGTTCAACCTGATGCCATTCGGGCGATGGATTTGCCCTCATCCTGGTCTGATGTGAGTGACATCTTGAGAAAGCTCACGATACACAAGCTGACATGATTGAAAAGCTCTGCTCCGGCACAGACCCATCTGCTTTCGGGCCTGATCGTTAAGACCTTATATTCTCGGATGCGTTCTTTAATAGAGTTGTGTACTTGCTAGAATTTTCAAGGACGATTAAGATATTCACGATAGACATAGTAAGACAGTACACGTAAACTACTTGGGCTCTTGATTCCGTATCTCTTGTTTCTATATCTCCAGTGATCTCCTTCTCCCGCTACAATCGCTTTTTTCCCAGACTCCCACCATCCTCGTTCTCCCTCTATGTATATCTGATCACTGTAACTCTTGAACAGTCTACACTAAATCATCGATTTCGACTGCCACGCCGCCCACCAGACTGCCCACTGGATCGCCTCAACCAGAACTCAACTGATGATGTTGGAGGTGGGCATCGCCGCCAGCAATCTCAGCTCTTCGCGTTTGTTGTTTGGTTCTGGTTTGGTTCTTACGAGGACGATTCTTACTCTTTCACTACATCTCGCAACATCTTCCCCTCTATATAACCCCTTTGATATCAATACCATCGAGCCCACAGACATGCCGCCTTCGACTTCCTCGCCATACCAACACAAATCACCACGCCCCTTCGTTTCAGCCAATCATCGTCCAGCCGACAATGCACCCGACGGTATTTTCAGGGTCGTCTTGATCAGTAGCGGCAGTGTGGCCAGCATCAAGGTACCGGATATTGCTGGAGCCCTTCTCAAGGTGCGTTTAGACAGCTGACATAGGATGAAGGGGACCGACTGCTGACTCATCACTTCCAGAACAAGAACATTGCCCTCCAGATCGTCGCCACCAAAGCATCCACTCACTTCTTTTCTCAGACCGACATCGACTCTTCCATCTGTAGCTCAATATCGGTACCCCCATCCGATTCGTCGCCAGATATCGGCGTGAGAGTCTGGACTGATGAGGATGAATGGGCGGATTGGAAAAAGGTCGGAGAGCCAATATTGCATATCGAGGTGAGCTCAAGGCTGCGTCTGGTGTAGACATATTTCCTGATGCACATCACAATCCTAAAGCTGAGGCGCTGGGCGGATTTGGTCGTTATCGCGCCTTGCTCGGCAGACATGCTCGCAAAGATCGCAGGTGCTATATGCGATAACCTTGCCGTGCGTCGCTCTTGATCCACCCCTTGAACCTTCAGCTGACCTGCCAACAGACATCACTGCTCCGTGCCCTCTCCCCCTCCACCCCTGTCGTACTGTGTCCAGCCATGAACACCCACATGTACCAACATCCCTTCACCGCCAAACATCTCTCCACCGTGACTCAAGAGCTAGGCTATCTGGTTTCGGGGCCACAGGGTGCTGGAAGGCTGGCTTGTGGAGATGATGGTATGTATGATCGCGGACTTGATGATGTGCATAACACTGACGCGGCTGTAGGACCTGGCAAGATGACAGATTGGAACGATATCGTGTTGACTATCGAAGGCTTCGCTTCCATGTTTCATAAACAATACCACCTTCATCTCAGTTCAGCAACGTCAAACTGGACTACTTCTACACCTTCGGTAGTTCCTAGTACATCGCAAGAGCCATTACTTCCCCAGAACGAGGCCAAGGTACAAGAAAAGAAAGAAGAGTCGGCAGGGATGAAAGACTGGCGAGAACAGTGCGGGATACATGGAGAGGATGGGTCGTTTTGGAACAAGATGTGGTGGACGGGGGTATGAGCGCTCTCACCGATGTGCTTGTGAGACCGGTTGGATAGAAATCATACAACTCTATCGAGTATCTGCTGATGCAGTATGACTTTGAAGAAGACGTCACAGCCTCTTTTAGTCTGATGCTAAATCCAGCATCCAATTTCTTTCATCTCCTTTCATAGCCTTGAAGCCTTTGTCTCATATATCAAAACTTTGAAAAGGCCCACACGTCGTTGTGTGAGGCTGGCGCAAGACAGCATATCAATTACAATACTGCTCAATATATATTCTCCCTGCAAGACTTGGTGGCATCATGCTTGTCTGTAAGTCATCAGAGACGCTGATTAAGTTATGTTGTTGTATTGGAGGACAAGTGGAAAAGCTCTTCTGCTAACTGCGCCCCACTTGCAGTTCTTGCTCTTCTAGCCCTCATCACTCTCATCATACTTTTTCTATGGCGTCGCTACCAATGGCCGACAGGCTTTTTCTTCACAAAGCGGCGGTGCTACGTCTGCGGCGCCTCGGTAGCAACTTCAGACGAGACGGTTGAAAAATTAGGTGCGACTGGACTGCTGGGCAGGGTGGTGTACAGGCACAAAGAGGGCACGGTGACATGTTTGAAGCAGCCGGCAGTGTAACAGCTGAGATTATGAAAGGACGGGGTAACAGATAAGATGGACGTAAAAGGGTAGAGCACACAAGGAGTCGTGCATGATCGAGCATGATGCTGGTGGCGGTGAATAGACCTGCAGTAGACAGTTGTATATTGACATGTATCTATCAATGGTCCACCTGATCTACCTAATGTTCTACACCCGATAAAGTTCAGACATATGAAAGTCTCAGTAGGGAGAGGCGCCGTCTTTACGGGCTGTCCCATACCACCTCCTTTTTATTCACGTCCCTTGCTTGGGCAGTGGTGCCGTGAAGTGACCTTTGTCTATCACGGGAACGCATGTAACGCAAAGCGAGAGTCAGATTGACGTATATAAAGACTGAGTATGTACCAACTGTGCCAGGCTATACTACGCACCTGTGAAGAGACAAAACCGCGCACCGTTTTATTCAACATCATAATGAGCTCCTCTACTGAACAAAGCACAGACGATACTTCTTTCACTAGCAGTGGCGCTTTCTGTAAGCGTTGGCTTTCTGTATCTTCACCTTGCGCTCACCACATATGCAACACCAGATGCCATTGTCGTTGTCACCTCTCTCCTCGTCCTCAGCGGCCTTTTCCTGATCTTCCGCAACCGCACCGGCAACTACTCCGGTCTTTGTGGCTTACTTCCTCCGCGCTGTCGACGCAAGGCATGCCGCAAACCTATTGGTGACAAGATGGACGATGCTGTATCAGAGCGGAAGAGTGGGCTGTGCGGGTTGATCACGTACAAAGTGTGGTATCATGGGCATTGTGCTAGAGGAGGGCCCCCACCGGAAGAAGCATGATAAATGGCCCTTGTCGTGGCCCGAGAGTGTTGTACTGTAATCATTATGCATTTGTAAAACTGTTACACGAAAGACCAAAATGTCCAAATGAGCTGTCCTACACCAAATACCCCCTACAGCTACTACACGTCTGAGATCAAACAAGGTATCTGAATCCCTTCCTCATCTTCAACGCCTCGTCCTTCTGCTCAAAGTGCTCCAGCTTCTGTCCCTTGTCCACAACATCCTCCCTAGCCTCCCAAGCCGCATCGCCAGCCTCCAACTGCTTGTTGAGCTTGACCAAGATGGTCTTGAAGACAAAGCATCCGACGATGGTGATACCAAACATCGCCACAACAATACCGTAAGACTTTCGGTAGCCGTTCTCTTGGAGATTCCAGACGTAGGATCCGGCGATGTTACCGAGCTGGGAAAAGGCGTTGACCATGGCGATTGCGACGGCACGTTTGGCGGGAGGACGGGGGAAGGAAGAAGAGATCCAAGAGTAGCTGGTATATCGTCAATAGGTGAATCAGGAAGCGGGGGCGATACTTACAAGACGATGAAGCCAGCATAAGACTGAGCTTGGAGGAAGAGGGCCACATATCTTCCAGCAGTGTTGAGTGTAGCCATGGAGATGATGAAACCGACAAGGCCGAAGAGGATTGGGATAACGATGTGCCAGAACTACCAATCATGTCAGTTTCGATATTTGGCGAGAAGAGTCGGGAGAAAAGAGCTCACCTTCTCTTGCGTTCGGTCTGCGTGCCACGAGACGGCGAACGAGACAAGAGTAGCAAAGACCCAAGGAGGCGCAGACATGAGGAGGGTAGGAACGTATCCAAACCCAAGCGTCCCAGTCAAAGTGGGGAAGAACGCGTTGAAAGACAATCCAATGACGTACGCCGTCAAAGTCAACATCATGATATAGATCTTGGCGTCCTTGACCGCCATCATCAGACCCGTAAAGACACCATCCGACTCGGAATCCTGGTCGGCCTCTCCCACATCCTCGAGAAGACGGAGTTGGGCGACTTCGAGCTCTTCAGAGGTGAAACCGCGAGTGTTGGTGGGGAGATCAGGGAGGATGAGGGGGCAGAGGAGGGCAAAGAACATGGTGGCGGCGCCTTCGACTACAAGAATGGTGAGCTGGGTTTCGACCATGAAAGAGGGAGAGGTACTGAAAAACATCCACCTCCAAGCCGCATGCCCCAAAGTCCCCTCCATGTTACTCAGGACACCCGCAGCGACCAGAGAGGCGAAAGCGTTGGAGATGAGGTTACCGCCGAAGAGGATGGCGTTTCGAAGAGTGAGCTCTCGGCGAGTGTACCACTGTTGACTATCAGCGTTTGCGAACCAATTGAGAGGGGATGACGTACTTTGGAGAGGATGAGGAGAGCACCGGGAAGGAAGGCGGCCTCGACAAAGCCGAGCATGAATCGAGTAGCGACAAGACTACCGAAGGATTTGGTGACTCCGGAGCATGTCGAGATCATCCCCCAGAGAAGCATCTGCCCATTTGTCAGTCATGCGCCAGGGGACGAGAACAGGGACACTTACGGCAGAACCAATGTACCAGCTCGGTCGGGAGATCTTGTTGATAATCATGTTGCTCGGGATTTGCATGAGAATGTAGCCGACATAGAGCTAGGAACGCGTATTTGTCAGCCTCTAGCCAGCCTTCGCGAGCCACAGAAAGAGCACATGGGCAACTGATGGGCACAGGCACTCAAAGAGAACCAGAACAGACGCGTCGTACTCGCGGGCGGCAAATGCCTCCCACAGCGCACCACCGCGCGAAAGTGTGCAATCGAGAAAAGCTGATGATCACGAGACTTACGATAGACAGGCATGTGGAGTATTCGGTGTCGGTAAGATTCAAGTCCGCCTGAAGACCCCTTAGACGAGCAGCAGAGATATTGTTTCGGTCGAGGTAGTCTGTGCTCGCCGTCAGCACTCCACTAGACTCGAGCTTTGGCCAACAAGAAGGGATTGACTCACTCATGATGTACAGCAGGATGAACAGGGAACACCTCAAGTCGAGCTTCCTGACAAGACTTTTCTCAATAGTCTTCCGGCGCTCATCGTGCTCGCGGGCAGCTTCGACATCGTGGGGCTTCTGAACATGGCTGATGATGCTCTCAGTTGGCTTGAGTTCTCCTTGGTGAGCCGTCGACATATTGACAAGCTCTTGCGGGTTGCTGGGAATTCGCGAAGTGGAGCGTGAAGGAGAAGGTGAGAGGGAAAGAAGAGCCACTTCCGGCTGGACTCTATATATATCATCATCCATCTCATAATGACCCGAATGGAAAAACCATTGAAAAACCAAATAATTCGGGCCGATGCCAGTCCACCTTAAAAGGATGAATTGCCCCGCTCCGGGAAAGCTTAATCATCCCATAACCAGGTCCCCGCGGGGCATTAGTGGAGACGTGGCTGGGGCCAAGCAATAGACTGCGGCGATTAGAAAACGTCAGACGCACGGTTACATTCGGTAGCGGTGTCGGCTACGAAAGGGTAACGTCGGCAACTGAACGAGCAAAATCTCCAAAGTGGGTATTTTTGGTGGCGCGGAGAGCGCGGAGATGCCGATTTGTGACGGGAGATGCCGGCGGTTGCTGTTGTTTGTGCCAGTGGCGTCGGTGACCCTCAGCGTGGGCCTGAGCAAGCTCAGCATTCAGCGAGGGGCAGAGGGGAGGGCAGACCGGTATCGGTGATGATTGGTTCTCCGAAAAGCCGAAGGCAAGGCCGCGGGGGGCGGGGCGCAGGCGTACAGATCGTTTTGACGAAATATGTATTGCACAACGCGATTGCGACTGATGGACTGATGAGTGATGGCTGGTTGGCACAGGACCAAGGGTACATTCGGATACCAAAGCTTCGAGCGAGTGTCGACGTCCTTGCTCGTTCAGCGTCCAGCGCGGACAGAAGGAGAGAAGAAGGATCATGCCCTGTCCTCCGCACCATTCCCATCGCTCAACATCTCCACCAAATCCTTCTCAAACGTCTTCCTCGCCCCTCCATCTGTCAGAGCGCTAGTATGGACTCCGTTCACATCCTAAAAGCCAGAATCGCAGTCAGCCCGCCGCCCCCTTGCACTCCTTCGATCCCTTATTAGCAAGAAACCTACCTCTCGTACCCTCACCCTCACCCCATCTCTCTTCATACTCTCGCCCAAAACAGCAACTTCATCCCGCATCGCCTCTCTCCCCCCATACTGCAAATACACATCCACCCCTTCTTCTTGCAAATACGTCCAATGTCCCGGAGACGCTTTGCTGGGAGAAAACCACGGGCTTTTTAACGCCTTTCGCTCAAAGTACCGGGTAGCGGACAAGACAGCACCTCGTAACCTCGGCATGCACACACAATCGTATGGCTCATTCTCGGCATATGAGGGATAAGAAGGGGACCAGTCGGACCAAGGTGATGACAGGGCGATAGAACCGGGCTGGGGCAAGCCGAGCTGGTGGAGGTCTTGGGATAGTAATAGCGAGAGGTGGCCGCCGGCGGACTCGCCGAGGAGGATGATGGATGAAGGAGGGTAGTGGAGGGTTTGGGTGAGGTGGAAGTAGGCTGAGAGGGCGTCGAAGAGAGGGGCGGGGAAGGAGGAGGAAGGGGAAAGACATTTGCGGTAGCAGATGCCTGTTGGGTTGTCAGTCATGGTTGGTTGTTTGGTTTGGACACAGAGCCGGGATAAAGAAGGAGACGTACTCAGGCAATCGAGGCCGGTGGCCCTAGCGATGTTGTAAGGGAATGGAGTCCAGAGAGGATGGCCGCGGATGTATCCTCTGAACCGGCCTTCGTCAGAGTGAATCGTTTACTTGTTCACTGCGCCACTCACCCTCCATGTAGATGAAGTATGATTCTCCCATCAGTGCGGTGGGCTCTCTCGCCTTTGAGTGGACAGATCAAGAACGCCGGTCGAGTTTCTGCTTTGACCTCGCCGAGGCTCGCAAAGCCGCCAGTCCATCTGGCGTCGACCGGTGGTATATCCAGTGCATCAATCTTGACCCTTCCTTCTCTCTCTTCCTCAGTGTAGAAGGTCCATTCCTCTTTTTGTCTTTCATCGAACAAGATAGTCGGTAACACCCAAGAGAGAAGCGTCCCCCGCAGCCTTTCGGTGCGTACTTGAACAAGCCGGTTGAATGACCATCCCGGAAAAGGCGTAGGGCTAAGGACGTAGGCGATGGCCAGTAGCGGTATGCGAATGATGCCCGAGACTGCGACAACGGTGTCGATGGCCCAAGAGATCAGGCGAAAGATGAGGGGATGAGGCGCAGCTCGTCGAAAGGCTCTTGATGTGTCGGTTAAGAGTAACGATTCCAGTGCGACCATTGTTCCTTTTGATGAGGTTGAGAGGGTAAGTGAGGATGATGAGATGGTAGGAAAAACAATGAAAGAGGGACAAGAGAAGGGACAACGCTCAAAGGTGTCTCCTGGACGCCCCCTTCCTCCTCTCGGCGTGATCACGGCAGATGGCGGACCGGCGTAGGCCGGGGTCGGGCTGAGGTCGGGGCTCCGAGCTGCTGCTGTTCTCGAGGGCAAGCTGAGGGCAAGCATGACGTCTCCCGCGACGTTGAGATACTTGAGATGTCCATCGGCGGCTCAAGATATCACTCAACATGGCCTCTTCATAGAAAAGTCGCGTGGGAGGTGATGTCGACCGACGCACAGACCACCGCGACGTGAGTTGACGCGACTTTCCCATCACCTTGCATCTCTCTGTCTTTTACTCTTCCTCATTATAGTATCACCCAAATCGCCAGCATAAAATGGCCAAGGACGCGTATGTCGCTCTCAGAGGTGGGCACAGGCGGTGATACACCCCCCAAGCACGACTAACAGCGCCCCTCCCGCCGCCTTTAGAGTCTCTCGAACATGCTCGTCCCCATTTCACCACCCTCCTCACCTCTCCCTCATCCTCCCAGAATACTCGACTCTTACTCAAAGCCCTGGACGGGGTCCAAGAGGCCGTGCACGCTTTTCTAAAGCACAAAAAGTCGAGAAAGAAGAAAGATGGGGATGGGAGTGGGGAGGCGGAGCAGGTCAAGGTCGATTGGCTGGATACGGAAGGTAATCTTCTTCTCTGGTCATGATATACGACATGCTGAATGCCGTGCAGGGGTACAGCTATGGAACCTAGCGTCTCAAGTCGGGCGTACGACCCCAGTCAATCCCACACTCAGCAAGGCAGATATCGCCATCGTCGCCGCTTGCAAGTCTTCAAAGCCATCTATAGTTCCTGAGAGCTGACGATCGTAGTGAGACTGACGGGATACCGGATTCTGGAGGCTGCTACAGATACAAAAGGTCCCATGGCATGTGCGTATTGGACCCATTAGCGTAGGGCTAAGCTGATCAGTTGTCAGTCGTCGTTCGCTTGCTCGGGCTTACAGCAAAGACTATGAGCGCTCTTCTCGGTACGCATGCCGTCTTCCTCCCCCTCATATCATATCTTGCTATGACTCTGACTGTTTTGTAGACGCCGGCAAGACAGCTGTAGCCAGCCAGCTAGCCGTCCAAGGTGCCGAAGTAAGCACCTGCCCTTTTCTGTACCTCATCGCGAATCACTCTCATGCTTGTGCAGTTCGAACAGACGCTACTCTCAGCAACAGACCCGCAAGATTCGGGAGAGATCAAGCAGCAAGTATCATCTCTTGTCTGGTTCTATTGCGCTCGAATAGATCTTGTAAGTGGTCTCGTGACGCGCTGGTTTTTGGGATCAGCAATGCTGATAGCCGGATCAGCTTCTGAAGGAAGGGAATGACACTTTCGCTTTCGACATTTTTCTCAAAGCCATCGGTGAGCCCATTCTCCACTCCACTCAAACTTTGTACCTAACCAGAGGGTAACAGCGTTGGACGAGATGTGGTCATTGACGCCCCAAGAAGCGAGTCCTCTTTCACCTTCCCCTTCCCCTTCCTCCTCCTCCTCTCCAGCTGATACGTCAACAGTGCCACATACTAGCTGCCAAATGCTGGACAGTCGGCAACACCATGCTCCAAAACAAGACCAACTTGCCTTTATCGATCGATTGGCTCAAGCAGGGAATTATGTTGGTGGAAAAGATGGTGAATCGGGGATTGGTGGTGGATCGTTTGGAAGAGCTTCATGTACGTCCTTTCTTGGCCTTGAGGAAGCTTATTGAGGGGAGAGGCTGATGCGGGGAAGGTTGCGATACTCAAAAGTCTTGGTATATCATGTCTCCTCCTCTTGCATCAGTCGATTGAAGCTGACATATTGTATAGCTCGAGCGCAAATGATGCAAGCGGAAGAAACCCCACAATCCCTTCAAGCTGCAACAGCAACCCTCAACGAACTCGCCCAGTTGGTCGGTGAAGAAGTACGTCGCCCTCCCTGTTCTTTTATGGATACAGTGCAGAGGCTAAATGAGGGCACAGGACCAAATCACACTTCGCGAGATGAGGGTGTTGCAGCTTCATGTGTTGAAACGCAGCAAAGCGCCGGAGAATGAAGTCAAGCTGGGTAAGTGTCGAGTGATATCATGATAGGGGCTGATGATGAATGGGGGTTAGTGCTGGAGGATCTAATGAAGATGCAAGAATGGACGGAAGAGAAAGTCATCGAGTCAGTCTGGCTCATAAAGCATGTGCAGAGCTGATCGACGAGGTAGAACGCTCTCCCAGCTCGCTTCTCTCATGTCCGACTAGTACGTCCTCTCCCCTTCTCCCCCAACCCATCACCCTCTTATTCAACCCCCAGCCCGACACTCCCCTCAACATCCGCCCAAACATTCCTCCGCAAAGCCCTCTCCCACCCCGACGGCCACCCCCACGTCCAGCTCATCATCTACGAAGGCCTCCTCTTCGCCAAAAGCCTCTCCCCGCCAGCTTTGGGTATACGCACTGCAGTGGCGATGCTGGATATCGCTAGGAAGCATGGGGAGTATAGGATGGAAGATAAGGTTAATGTTGTTGCTTGTCAGACTGTAAGTTTTGCTAGCTGCTTTGGAGGTGGGGTGGGGAAGGGGGTGCTGATGGGGAGAGAAGCTGCTTTGGAATATAGCAAACTTTAATGGAAACAAGGAGAGAATTACCGAATCTGCGCACTGGTGTAAGTAGCCTGCAACAAGCGCTGAAATCATACTGAGTTTTTCGCAGACCAGCTGGCAGGGCACGATCTCTTCAGAGAACTCGGTGGAGAGAATACATCCAGATGTCTCCGGTGAGCACTCCATACCGACCAAGGTCAGCCAGACTCTGACAATGATCATAGGAAAGCGGCGCTGTGTCATATCAAGACGGCCGATTGGGGCGCAGCACATGATCTTATAGCACGTTGTCCGACAGACGAAGCTTCGACTCATTATCTGACCTTTTTGGCTGCCATACGACAAGGCGAGTCTTCTCTCTCTTGTCAATTCACCCGGGTTGTTGACAGAGGGTAGATCGCCAGCAAGCGGCTATCGACGCTGTATCATCTATAGTAGAATGCTCGGACTTTGAAGCTCAACAGCTGGTCCTCATGACGCACGTCCACCCTTTCTACCATACCTCTCAAACCCGCTGACAGCACTACAGGTCACTCGCCAACGAAAAAGGCGCCCAACCCGTCCTTCTCGCCTCCATGCGCGCCCTCCTCTCCGTTCTGACCGATTCCGAGATGAGCTTTGAAGTGCAGATCGAGACTATTACGGTGATCAGATGTCTTGTGAGGATGTCTGTCTTGGAGCTGGCCCAGGCGGAAGACAAGTGAGTTCTCCTTGCGCTTATGCTTCCAAAGAAGGGAGGACTGACTTGTTCTAGAGAGCGCGTTGTCGACTCTATACTGGAATACTTGCAAACGGCGGTCGAGTTGCTTACGGAAGATCCTTCTATTGGACAGGGGCAGACAAAGGGGATAGCGTGGCTGTACAAATGCGGTACGTCTTGATTGCCTGTCATCTTTACGTTGCTAAAGCGCATCCACCAGCCTTCAACGTGGCCGTACAAGGTCTACACAGTCTCTCTTCCAAGTCTCTCGCGGACCTCTTCGACCGCTCTGCCCAGGTATGCAACTATCAAAGTCATTCGGGGCCCGATGTACTGACGTCGGGTAGCTTATGACGATCTATGAAGTGATAGAGCCTATGAGTACTGATCCAGATTTGCCGTTCGTTCGAGGGTCGGCGATGTTTGCTTGTTTGTGCGGCAAGAGTACGTCCTTGTCAAGAGCCTGGGTCAGAAATGCAAAGCTGATGATGAACAGTCTTTCTATGCAAGGACTTACCGACCGGACCGGACAAAGTAAAGCCACTGTCACACCTCTTCGCTACTCGTGAGCTCATATGATGTAGATCCTGCTGCTGGACCAGCTTCTCGAATACATCCCGCAATGCCGCAACGCCCTGCAAGGCGCCACCAACACCGCTCACCCGCGATACTCGAGCGTCTCTGATATGCTGAGGATCATCGATACGTCAGAAGTTGAGCTTCAGTGCGAGGCGAGAGAATGGACGGCTATTCCTGAAATACTTGAAGTAAGTGCCATCTTCCAGGGAGATATCGTGCTGACGAAGAGTCATAGCGGCTTAAGGACGCGTCCAAAGATAGGGAAGTGGGGACAACCCATAGGACGTTGGAGATGATTGCGAATGTCTTGGTGAGCGTAGCTCTGGCTTCTCCACTCGAGCGAGCTGACAAGATGCTGGGTAGTTTCGTTATCAAGATTGCCCCACCTCTGGCATGTCCAAGATACCCATCAACGTTCGTGAGCTAACCGCGAGACAGTGACCTACCGACTACTCGAAATCATCCTAGACATCTGTCCCACAAGATACGCTGACGACATCAAACGCTTCTCTCGCTGGATGCGGGCCATCTTGCGCATCCTCCTTCATCGCAGTGGAGCAGACGACGAGAGCGCAGCCTTCTCGTATGTATCGCGCGCGCTGGATGTGCTCAAGACGCCACTCGGCAAGACTGTGATTCCCCTTTACACCTCTTTGCACCGACGACTCGATGCTGACTACCGGCGCAGGCATACCCACTGGACGAAGCGCATTGGTTAGTTGCGACTGCATGGAACCGGGGCTTGGAATGGTTCAGGTATGGCTTCCCATGCGATTGAGATAGCAGACTGACCTGGCGAACGCAGTTCTTCTCGCGTGCAACAAGCCAAGCAATGGTGCGAAGCGGCGATGACTATGAGCTCTTTTTCGCCAGACCTCAAAGTTGACCGGCAAAAGGTACAGTCCCCAATAGCTATATGTTGTCCAAGACGCTAATCTTGATTATACAGATGCACGAGCATTATCAGTGAGTTACGGAAAGCATGCCAAGTTCTGACTCGACTTCTGACTTTTGTTGCTCAGGCATCTTCTCGACAAGATGTCTAGCTAACAACCTCTACGGCGATCGACGAACCAAAGTATGACGAAGGGAGCAAGACATTTACATGTTGTGATCATAATCTATATCGTTGTCATCGAGAGCATGTATCTGTATGTTACGGTAGAGTACAAACGTCTTTCCAAAACCCTCGCTTTACCCACATTCCACTCCACTCCACTCTGCTCTTTCACTACGCTTTCCCAGCAGTAGCCTCCCCCGAACCTTCCAACGCCTTTGCCTTATTCCGCTTCCTCTTCTTAATCCACCAATAAACGAAATAGATTGGGGATCCTACTCCAATCAAGCAAAAGATGGCAATCACTATTCCCCACAAAAAAAAAAATGTCAGCCAAAGCCTCATCTTCCATCCATCTTCCACCCAAGCAAGCAAGCAAGGAAGCAAGGAAGGAAGAGCGAGTGAGTGATCAAGAGAGTAAGAGAGCAAGAAGAGGTCGACATACCAACAATCTCCCAAGTATCCATCCCCGCCGCCGTACTCGCCACGCTCGCGCCTAGAGACGAGCCTGTATCGGTGGCATCAGCAGCAGCAGTACCAGCTGCTGCTGTTGTTGCGGTGGCTTCTTTTTCTGTTGCCGACATCCCAAATGGTAGGCAATCAGCTTGCTGTTTTTTTTTTTTTTTGTTCTTTTGTACTAGCTGAAATGCTGATAAAATGAGGGAGAGATGGATGTCGATACGATGATGTTGCTAGAGATGAGATGCGATGGGAATATTGAGTGGGTATAGTGTAGAGGGTTGCTCAAAGGAAAGTTGAAATGATGGTGCTGCTCTTCTTTTGATACGGTAGACTTGCCATAACGTCAAGCCTGCTCGAGCGTTAAACGATCCTTTGGCGTTTTGCATGGTTGCTGTACGTCAGGTCCGATTCGTGCATTCACTGTCAACTAGTACTGCTTCAGTCATACTGCCAAAAGGTGATCAAGAGATTCGATCATGCACACAACACGTATACATAAAAACTTCCCTTCCAACCCAACCCAAGCGCAAAAAAAAAGTGGCTTAGCAAACATCAAAGCTTGGATAATTGTTAGTACACACTATTGCGCGAAAGGTTTTGAAAGAAGATATATGTATTTGAAAGAAGAAGACCAGAACGAAATGAAACGGACTAGACGGAGAAAAGATACTTGGAATACTTTTGTACAAATAGCAACAACGTTTTTTTATGGACTGACCCACGCCTCTGCGACCCCCTCGCCCCCTCGCCCACTCATTCACTCGCTGGCTCGCTAACGCTCGCTCGTTCACTCATTCGCCCCGGCGCTAATTCCCCTCCACCTCATCCATAGCAGTGACCAACCTCGAAACCGCCTGAAAAATCAACCCCGCCCTCTGCTTCTCCAAACTCCCCACCGCCTGTCCCTCCCCGGGATGCATCGCCGCATGCGCACTCGCCGTGATCACCTCCTGCGCCTTCTTATCCAGCGCATGAAAGACCTCCCTCACACTCGCCCTCCACGAGTCCCAGACGACGCCGACAATGTGCTGCTCGATCGCTTCAGAGAGGCCGGTGCCGGATATGCGGGCGCCGTGGATCGTGATTTGGGCGGAGGAGCCGAGGGAGGAAGAGGGGATCGGGGGGTGGGGGAATGTGAGGAGGGTTGTGGTGCGGGAGAGGAGGCTTAGTTGGGGGAGCGTTTCCCTGGGAGAAGAGAGGCAGGTGGGACAAATGGAAAGCGAGTTGAACAACCGCAACGACCGTGCCAAAGGCGCAAACACCGCCAGCGTCAACGGCGTATTCGAGCCCTGTTTCGGGTCGAGCGTGTGTTGGGTGAGGAGGGAGAGAATGTGGGGTACGAGTTGACGGTGATTACATCCCTGGGGAGAAAAGTCGCCGAGGTTGAGGCCGGAAGTGGGATCGTGCCCCTCGGCAGCTTCGTTTTCGCCATTCATATTCGACAGGTCCAGCAGGGCGAGGTGCGGATCCAGCTGCTCGCCTTCACCGGTCTCGCCGGATTCGCCGTGCTCGCCGTTGCCTTCGCCTTCTTGGCCTGTACCGGCGGCAGAAGACTCGTTGAGGGAGAAGATGGCGTCACGCAGGGCGGAGGTGGTGTGTTGGTCCATGTCTGCGGTGGGGAAGGGGTCGGAGGAGGCCGAGGGGAAGTCGTCGGGAAAGACGTGGTCGGGGGAGGTAGAGTAGGGGAGGTTGTGTACGAAACTGCCGAGCGGGAGGTCGGACAGGTATCCATCGATCGCAATGCTCTCGAGCTGTGAAACGTCAGTGCCACATCGCACCACAAGACCGGTTGACGCACCATTTGCTCATCCGTCATGGTCTGCAACTCTTCATTCTCCTCCTCCACCCCCATCCCCATATCCATCGCAATCCCCATCGCCATCTTCATATCCATCCCATCCCCTCCAAAGCTCGGGATCGCATCTCGCGTCAGCTTGCGTTTCTTGCTCTGCGGCATCGGCTGGTGCTGCTGCATGTCCATCGCATGATGAATGTGCGCCGCGGCGTGGTGGGTGTGCTGGTGGTGGTGGTGGTGCTTTTGGTCTTTGGGGACGGTACGGCGGCGCTGGCGGGGGGCGTAGTTGCAGGGCCAGCCGCCGGCGGAGCAGCGCGTACATGAGGGGCGGTCGCCTGAACATTTTTGTTTCGCCGCATGGCACAAATCACACGCTACTTTGAGTTAGCTAGAGTTCCAAGTATGGGTAACATGGCTCACCCTTTCGAATACTGGGCGGTCTGCCGGAAGAATACACTTCATGCTGCTGCTCCATATCGCCCATATCCAGCCCGCCCATATCCCCCGGCGTGCCCATCCCCCCGAGGTTCTGCAGGTCCAGCTCCCCATGCTGATCAAGATGATGCTGGTGGTGATCATCCACCGTCGGTATACTCAGCCCATGCACGCCCAGCTCATGCTCGTCCCCATCCTTGTGCTGGCCAAAGTCGGGCTGCTGGAGGGTATGATGAAAGTGGTGCGGGTGCTCGAGGCTGAGCTGATGGGCCTCTGCAGCCTCTGCGGCGGCGACGGCAGATGCGAGTGCGTCGTTGTCTGCCTGCTGGTCCTCGTTCATGGCGTACTTGGGGTGGACGTCTGCGGTGGAGGTTGTGTGACTCGGCGTTAGTAGAGGACACTCGATGTGGCTCTCTCTGCGGTGGGCGGGGATACAAGGGGATATCTCACAATCCCGCGCGTGTGGCGGAGGGGGGCGGGGGGTGTTTTGCAGCTTTTTCCGCGGGGAAAAAGGGGGCGGGTGTATGGGGCGGGCTGCGGCGTTGTGGGCTGCAAGTTGCAAGGGGGGGGTCTTGGGGGATTGTTGAGTCCACGCTGCCCTCCTCGCCACTGCCTCTGGGGATGTTTGAGACGATGCAGAGCGGCGATACGGCGTTACTAAGCGTGGCGCTTTCTCCTCCAAGACCAAGCGGCCATCTCCGTGCGGCGTCCCCCGCCCCTCTCTATATCTTTGCTCTCAGTCAGCATCATCCACCGAGTGTTGCCATGCCCAACGTCCAATTCAAAAAAGGCCCCTCACGCCGCCCTGCCCAGTCTCGCAGACGCTCCCCCACCCCCCCAGCAGAAGCCGAACCCTCCTCCTCCGTCGTACGCACCCAGACAAAATCCATCGCCAACCCCCTTGTGCAAGGGACGAAGCGGCGGCGAGATGTGCAAGCGGGGGATAACGTCGCAGACGACGAGAATGGGCTGGACGAGTTTGGTTATCGGGCCGATGAAGGGTTGACGAAGAGGGCTGATGAGCTTGTTACCCGGGCGAACGATTGGGATCTCGAAAACGACCCCGTACCAGAGAAGAAAGTCCGCCTCAACGAAGTACGCCCCCCCCCGTCATACTCTCCAGGTGATCACACTGACAAAGAAGCAGGACGGCGACATTGACGACGGCATCTACCGCGGCGCCTCAAACTACCTCCCCACCATCAACAAGACCCGCGAAACCCTCGACAAAAAGATGAAATCCGGCCCCATCAAAGCCACCTCCCACGTACGCACCATCACCCTCATGGACTACCAGCCCGACGTGTGTAAAGACTACAAGGAGACGGGGTTCTGTGGGTATGGGGATAGTTGCAAGTTTATGCATGATCGGGGGGATTATCTGGCGGGGTGGCAGTTGGATAAGATGGCGGAGGATGGGGGAGGGGGAGGGAGAGCACAAGTGGAAGAAGAGGATGAGGATGAGGAGGTGCCGTTTGCGTGTTTGATTTGTCGAAAACCATTCACAGTCCCCGTCGTCACCCGCTGTGGGCACTATTTCTGCATGGCGCAAGTCCTCCCTCCTTCTTTCTCCCCCAAGTCAACTTATTAACAGGATTGCAGGTGCGCAACAAAAAGATTCCAAAAATCCCCCAAATGCTACGCCTGCGGCGCCGCCACCCAAGGCATCTTCAACACTGCCGAAAAGATTATCGCCAAGATTGAAGCGCGCAACAAGGTGCGGCAGGAGGAGAGGGATGAGAGGAAGGGGCAGGAGAATGATGGGGGTGGGATCATCTTTGGCGGCGGTGACGCCGCTTCCGACGCTTCCGACAACGACGAGTAACATGGTCTTTCAGCGTCTTTCAGAAAGGGGTGTTGTTGTATATCTAATGCATAGCTATTTCTAATAATCACTCTCGCTATCACTCTCCACTTGTGCCTTTCGGCTCTTCTCTTCCCTCGCCTTGGACGGTCGGCGGTCGTTCTTTGTAGGAGGGGATTGCAAGTCTTCGTCTTCTTCCCTTGTCTCGCGCTGACCTCTGCCTTTCTCTTCCCTCTCTCCCCTCTTACTACCTTTCCCCTCTCGTCTCTTACTAGTAGCTTTCCCCTCCTTCTCCCGCTCGGTTTCACCCTCTTCATCCCTCCTGCCCTTACTTCTCCCGCCTCCTTCACTCACGCCCTTGCTCTTGCGCTTCTTACCAGAACCAGAACCAAGACCTTCCTTCTCCAGCTCCTCCTCCAGCGCTTCATCCTCCCTCTCTTCCTGGCATTTCCTACAGATCCACCCCTTCCCCTTCCCCTTGCCTCCTCCTCCTCCTCCCCCTCCTCCTCCTCCTCCTTTTCCTCCTCCTCCTCCTTTTCCTCCTCCGTCGTCGTCGTCGTCGTCGTTCTTAAAGTAGTCTTCATCAACCTTCTGTGATTTAGCTATACCGTGTTTGCAAACAGCACATCGTTTCTGGTTGAACGGCGGGAAGGCGAGACGGTGTTTGGAGTAGAGAAAGAGGAGGAGGGAGAGGAGGAGGATGGATAGGATTGTTAGGGCGACTGTTCGTTTGTGTTAGTGGTAGTGGCGGCGGGTGCGGGGGGGTTGAGATGATTTAGTCAGACTCTTCCTCTTCGCTCTCCCTGGGGTCTGGGTCAGTCATTGCACGCTTGGGATTTGGAATGGA